CTTCCTCAGAACTTCCTCAGTTCTGAGGAAGGGTCACCGGACCCGAAACGTTAACTCTGTTTTCTCCTTCACAGATGCTGCCAGACCTGCTGAGCTTTTCCAGCAACTTTGTTTTTGTTGCAATTTACTGTTTTTGTTCTTCTCTCTGTATTTGGTCTACAGTCTGCTGAAGAACAAGTGCCAATTTGGTACGCTATGGATGAGTTTGGATCTCAAATCCAACACTCGGATGAACCAACTTTTCGGACTGTGCCATTCTTTTATGGACCAGGACAGACTGCCTTCAATTTGTTATGGCCATTGAGAGATCTCGAACATGGTGGTAAGTGACCAGGCTGACTATTGTTCTTTGAAATGATTTGAGCCCACCATGCTGCTAGTTTGATGGGGTTAAGTATTCAGTGGCTGATCAGAGATTATATCAATTGAATCAAAATCCTCATGTACAATTAATATAGTCACCAGGCAACAAGTACATTGTTGTGTTCCCATCTCCACTTTCAGATTTCCTGACAATCTGTTTGCTTCGCTTGCGTACCTGATTTTTGGATTGCCTTAAGTGGGGTTGGACTACATTGTTACGACATCTGTACCTCTACTATTATGTGTGCATCTGAACAAAGCTACACTTTGTTAAATACCAAGAGTTTCTGAGGTTATTCCTGAATTTGTGACAGTATACTTCAGACACCCTGGGGACATCACCACCTCCAGACTAACCTCTAGGCCATTCACCATCCTTTCTAGGAAATGTGTTGCCATTCTTTTAGTGTCACTGGATCAAAATCTTGGACCTTACCCTCTAATAGCACTGTGGATGTACCTACAGAAAACAGACCGTGACAACTCAAGAAGGCAGCTCACCACCATCTTCTCAAGGGCAATTAGAGATGGGAAAATAAATGTTGGCCCAGCCAGTCATGTTCAAATCCCATAAACAAAAAAGGAATTAAAAGGATGAGGGCTGGCTATCATGCACCCCACTCCCCAACATGTTGCCAAATAACTTGTTAACCAAATGGACCCAAATATTGTTTTTGGCCAGCGTGTATTTGCACTTCAGATTAGAAGAACACTCTCTGAAGAAGTTTAAACACTTGGAAACAAATTATGATACAGGACATAATCAAAAGAGAGGTTGAGGCTGTCACAGAACCCAGTCAAGTCTTATACTGTTTATCTGCATATTGTTTTTTGTTGTGTAAATGATAGGTGCCTTGCATATGATTGTTAATGTTATTTAATTCATAATCCAGTGTTAACATGCAGAACAAAGCTTGTATATATTGTATCAGAGATGGTAGGAACTGCAGATGCTGGAAAATCCGAGACAACAAGGTGTAGAGCTGGATGAACACAGCAGGCCAAGCAGCATCATAAGAGCAGGAAGGCTG